GTCCCCCTTATCATAGTGGCTGTTGTAGCCTTCTTAAAGAGAAAACGATTGGAGAAATGGTGGCAACAAATACCAAGTTTGAAATACAGGCATGTTTTTCCTCTATTTCTATAATTTTAAGACTAATTTCATTTCTAATAAGACTGCTTTAATTAATTATATATCATTGATAAATGTAATTTTATTTGCATTTCAGAGTTGGCAATAAAAAGCCCAAATGTAAACCATCATCAGATTCCAGTTCATCAATTAGAAAAGAATTCAGTACAGCATCCCGTGACAGAGAGAATTTAATTTTTAACCCTCAAGGTGCACACACAACAGAGAGTAAAACCAAAGTTTGGAACTCGCACACTTCACACTCTCCAGCAGCATTGCCTCCCGAAAGACCAAAGCAGCCTCCATCAGTGTTGAAACCTAGCTCTTCAGAGTCCAAGAACATGACAAAGAAAGTCAAATTATCTCTTCCTATCCAAGAAACTGGCGGCCCTCCTTCCCCCAGCAAACAAAAGAAACCCCTTCAGTTTGGTTCTGAAAAGCTTGAAGCTAGTAAAGGTAGTCAAGCAGCTCATTCTTCAAACTCCATTGTTAAAAGGGAGTCATTTAGGGGATCAGAAATTTCTGAACCAGTCCTGGTATGTACAACTAACAGGAACTCTTTGGTTTTGGCAGACGGCAATGTGGATATCATCGGCCCAGAGGCCAAGCTTGTCACTGGACATAAAGTTAATGCTGTGAGTGTTAAGCGTAGCCAATCAGACCGCCCAGTTAGCAGACCTGAGGTCCATCGTCCTGTGATTGTCCCTCCACCGCCTGGTAGCTCAACTTTAAAAAAATCAGCCTCAGCGCGATCACCTACTAAAGTCAATCCATCAGTTGCAGGGTCTAAAGGAAATACATCAGGGTTTAGGCCGCGCCCAGTTCCACCAATACCTACAGAGGAGGAGGATGACACCCAGCCTATTTACACCAATGAAACAACAGACATGAGTGATCTTCTGTCAGCTATAGATGGGGTCCTGAAAGACTCCTCAACCCTCTACAGCAACATGTCAGGCTCCGTACAAACACCAATTCAGGAGACCTCACCTCCAGCCCCTCCAAGATCCACACCAGCAATTCAACCTTTACCACCTAAGCCTCCTTCATCCTCAGCTACAAGCAAGCCTGTAAGACCAGCCCCAAATAAAGTCCCAGATGTCTCAAAAATAAACAACAAAACTGCCTCTCTTAGTTCTAATATTGAAAGGGACAATACAACTCAAGTCACTGACACAAAAGTCAGCAGTCAGGGTAGTTCTAAACCAGCTGCAGAGTTGAAATCCACAAAACTTAACACAGGTGTTAAATCTAAGAGAGATATATCTTCTGAAAATAGTGATAAAATCAAAGGTGCTGTCTCAGATGAACTTCGAAGCAAAATTATTAATAGATCTAGTCCACCTAAAAGTTCTAGCACTCTTCCAGCTAAGCCTGGTGTCCATAAACCTTTGGCTAAGCAAAATAGTTCAAGCGGTCAGCAGTCAACCTCATCAGTTACAGCTAAACCTACAAAGACAGACAATGAACCTATAAAAGCTATGTCCAGCAAAAATATCCCACCAAGTTCATCTACAATTAACAAACAATCTAATGTTTCCAATGACAAACCTGTCCCAAAGACATCTGTAAACAACAGAACTATTGCAGATATAAAGTCTAGTCTAGCTGCTAGGTCTAGTTCACCGACAAATAGTAGCACTGAGAATGATGGTAAAAAAGCATCTGTGAGAAAAGTTTCAGAAGCAGAGAAGTCAGTACCAGCTGCTGACAAAACAAAGTCAGCCAAGCCAGAAGGCTCACAAATAACCCGTGTCCAGTCCATGACAACCAATAGGCCTTCTTTGCCTCCTAAACCTGATTCATCAAATGCTCAGCCAAAACGAGTTCAGAGTTTTAGAATTTAATCTTTGGCCTTATTTCCACATTTTTTTGTTGACCTTAGTTTCAAGTCTTGCCATCTTTTTGTTGTTTTTTTCTCTGATAGTGTCCAATGCTTTTTAATGCTCTAATGATCATTGGTCTAATTTTTGTATACATTTGAGTTTAAATTTTGTTTTGAGTTAAATGCTGCACATTTGAAACCTGATGTATTTATGTAAATTATTTATTCTTCTAATGTTGATTTAATTCTGTAGTGTTATGCTTTTTAATTTTTATTCTCTATGTCACTGCCTGGTCATGTGGAATGCACTCTGGGCTGTTGGTTAGATTTCCCAGGTTCAAACCCTAGATGCTGCCATGGTCCCTGACCTTTAGGAGGTTTGGGCTAGGATGTAATCATCTTCAATTCTGGAGAAGCATTTAAAACTTGTAAAACAAACAAACAAAACAGGTCGCAACATTTGACCAAAGGGACATAGAAAGTGGCTTAATAATAGGAGGTAAAAAAAAGTTAATTAGTATTTACAAGCTATAGGCTTGTGATTTTCTAGAAATAGATCATCCTAATTTGTGTATAGGTGTCTAGGGTTCTACAGTTATCACCTTAATGGCATTTAGCTAGTAATTTCATAGAATGACTCATTGAATTGATCTTTGTAGCAATCACCCAATCAAGTGTGTGTTTTCCTTCAAGTGGGTCTATTCACTTTTTCTTTTGTCCTCGTGAGTCAATAGTTCTAATGAGACATCCTTCCTGGCCATTAATCCAAAAATTTAAGATCTGCAATTTTTGTTTGATTCTGTCAATCTTTTATAACATTTTGGAATATGTCTAGTGTAAATAATGTAAATATTATCATTAGACTTGAGTAACACCTTTAGTAAAATCATTCAACTTATAAACACTCCAGGACAGTAGACATTAGTACAGAAAACACTGAACCATAATTTACAAATACAAAATACACAGCCAAATAAAATGCTAAAAAAAACCACAAATATAAAGGCACATTTTTTATTCCAAATTCTCAAAGTGCTCTTCTTCTCTAGTGCCATTAGAGAATGGAACAAGTAGCCTGAATCAGCCAGTATAATGATCTAGTAGAATTTAAGTCCCTAGTTAACATACTGGACTAGATGGATACATGTAGTTCTTAATTTGACTATATTCTTTGAAGAAATGTCTGTAATTTATAAGATATGAGAAAGTAAAATAAAAAGTGTTATTTCTTTTAGGTTTCTGAAAGTGAACTCAAACTGTGACCCTACTAGAGAGGACTTGTCTTTCCTCAGTAGCCATGGCATTGTTTTATAATGGTTCACTTCTTGTTCATTGCTGTGTTTTGTTGGTATAGAACTGTCTCCTAGTTGTGACATCTATCCACTTTCAGCTCCTGTGCTCTATTGGCTACAACTTTTTTTTATATATTTTTCATTCCTAAACTAATTGGTTCACTGCCTTCATACTTATTAGTGTACAGAAACATGTCATTTGTTGAGTTTTATTTTTTTAATTTATTCACTGCAAATTGTAATGTTTGTTTTGTGTGTGTGTGTGTGTGTGTGTGTGTGTAAATCTGGTATACACACATTAGTTCAATATACTAAAGAATGTCCCATATATTTTAAATTATATTATAAATATTTACATTTACTATACAAAGTAACCCTGATTATTAAAAAATAGACCTAAATAGCTAAATCCTTTACACATTTTGAATATTGAGGTTAAAACCAATATAATTTTTGTATTATTGTTGGTTAAACAGTCATTTGATTAGGCTGAAGTCAGGAAAGAAAATGTGTCAATGAGTTAAGGGCTGTAGACACTTTTGAAATCTCTAGACATGTTCTTGAACTTTGATAAGTCTGATTCCAGATATTCACTTGTTGGCTACATGATAAACATTGTCCACTCAGATCAACTTACAATCAAAAAGAAACTAATAGAAATTGTTTGCTGGCGTCATGACATTATAGTTGACTTCCCCTGCCGATTAGGGCTCTCATGGATTTTTACTTACTTGTGAAATGTATGTACCATTAGAATACATTATGCTGTCCTTATGTAACAAACCAGGATAGAGTTTGGCTGAAAATAATCCTATTGAAATGTCATTTCGTTTGTTTAAATTTGTTTTATGTGAATGACTATATGAATTGCAATTTGTGTAAGTCACTTTTATTCTCATCTTAATGTTACCCAGAATGTAGTGTGTGGTTGGGGTGTGATTTATCCCTTTTTAAACCTGTTCAAATGGGACATGAGTGTGCAATATAGTCTAGAAGGTACAGTAGCTAGAACCAATGAAACGGCATGACCCTCTCATACACAGAAAAGAAGAAGATTTCACCAGGTCTAAGACTTTTTGTTTTTGGAGTCTCATCAAAGATAAAACCAGACACAACAAAACTGTTTATCTTTTTGCTTTATCAGGGATAGATCGATTAAGCTTTTTTATTTGTCGTTATTGTTTTAAATATATGGTAATAGAGGAAATCCACATGTCTACTTCTATTGTATTGGATTTTCAATTTTTGTTGAAGTCAAATGAAGCAATCCTATACACTGGTTTAATTATACAATATTTTTACAGTTGAAGAGTACAGAAATGAAAAAAATTAAATTTTTAACTGTATATTTTATTTTTTATGATCATTCTTACTTTCTGACCTCTATAGTCTCTTTTAATATGGTCATTGTACACTTGATTTTGTGATATAATTCTAGATCACACTGCATTTTTTTTTTTTTTTTTTTTTTAGATTGTATCATTTTTGTTGTCACAATTTTTTGTTATATGGAAACTCCTTTTGAACAAGATTTTACACCATGTTTAAATTGTATTATTTTCTTTGTATTCACTTATTCACTTTGTCCAAGACTGTGTGATCCAAGGCTTGAAAAGCTAACCAACATGTTTTGTTTTTTCTTTTAATGACATTTCAGATGGTAGCATTTATTTAATTAAACTATACTTAAAGCTAAAATAAATGTGTAAATATGTTTTTATGTATGCAAATTCTAGAGAAAATGAAAGCAAAATATTTCCAGTTGCACACCCCCCCCCCCTCCCCCCCCCCCAACAAATTCTGTGTTAACTCATGTAGGATATTTGCATTATTTAAGATTAGTTTCAAACCTTTCTGAAGCTTTTTTTTTTCACAGGAAATCCTCTAGTGGACCTTCAGGTATGAGTGGATCAAAGAGCTTACAGACCTTACATCTATTTTTCTCTCAACATTTGGACTTGTATACAATGGTTGTGAATCAATTGATTTAGAATAGACTTTCAAAATCTAGTCACATGTATAGGCATTAGCATGACTGCCAAAGGTTACAGTTCACTAAATTGCACTATACAGGTCTGATGTCCCAGTGCTTGTGGTCCATATAACCTTCTAGTAGATTCTCGTTTGAGCTACAATTATAATTGCTCTGCCCTGCCCTTTGACAAAAACATTGACCCAGCCCATCTCATAGCCAATCGAGTGGACTAGTAGTGTATCCAGTTGACTAGTCTTATCAAAATGTATGTTACTACCTTTGTAATGTCTGCCTGTATTCCTGTGATGATACTTTGTATGCTGACCTGCCATGTTCTTCTAATGCTTTCAACCAATTGACTAACAGCAGAAATCTTAATAAAAATGAAATTCCTAAGTCTGATGAACTAGAGATCTTTAGGCTGATACACAGGATTGGACTCTCTTAATGATCTTCTGCTCATGTGACTATAATTTAAAACAACAACATTCTCTTTGGTTCATCAGCTACTTGAGTTATCTTTCTTGTTTGAGCTTGTCCTCATAACATGGTTTCACTTGAATTGATTTCTGGTTGACTTATTTCATTAAAGACATTCTCTTACCATCGCTATTCCTGTTTCTTTGTTATTTTTATTTATTTATTTTTTGTTTCTGGTTGTATATTTGTGTTCTCTGATGATTGTGTAAGCCGCTGTGGAGAAGTTTTTGTAGAATCAGCTTGATAGTTTGATTTCATGAGACCTGACATAGCATAAATGTAGACATTGTCAAGACTGCATTTTACATTGCCTAGTATTTTAAGATTGATTGATTATCTTAGTATAAGACTAGAACTGTTTCACTGTATCCTTTTTGGAAATTGGTTCGCATTACATGGACCCTTTTTGTCAATTAAAATAATCTACTAGCTATAACATCAAGCCCTTAGCTCAACTTGAATAATGTCACATGACCTACCCAGATCATTGACCTCTGGGTGGCTAAGTGTGACTGGCGAAATGCTACCGATCAAAAAGAGTTTGGGAAATTTGGATGGTCAGATGATTTGTTCGTCTGGTCCTGCGCAGCTGGTATGTAGAAAACAAATGCAGTAGACAGATTCATCTCCCTTGACTGCACACTCTCCAGAAATGGAAACATCGTTAATGAAATCGACTTGCGTATCGTCAAAGACAGTGCATCCTATGACAGTGTCTAAAATGTTTGGAATAGACGAGGTATTACCACAAGTACAAAGCTATAGGTCTATCGAGCTGTCATTCTCCCTACATGGTTCTGTCAAAGAAACGTGGACAGTATACAGATGACATGCAAAAAAAACAAAACTGAACCACTTTCACATGTTCTGTCTTAGAAAAATACTTAATGTTAAATGGCAAGAAATAATAAATGTCACTAAAGTCCTTCGAAGAGCCAGCCTGCAATGAATCCAAACTATCTTGTTGCAGTCTCAGCTGCAATGGGCAGGCCACCACTGCAGAATGGAAGACCGCCGCATCCCTCAACTACTCTTTTAAGATCAATTAAGGAAAGGAAAGCGCTCACACAGAGGGTAAAGAAAACGCTTCTAAGACACTCTAAAAGCGACATTGAATGCCTTCAGCATTGACCCTGCCACCTGGAAGACAGAAGCACATGACAGAGCATCATGGCGTCGCACTGTGAAAACTGGTGCACAAATTGCAGAGGACAAGAGAACAGCGCTGGCATAAGAAAAGCGTCAGAGAAAAAAAAAGGACAATGACACTAGATCCATCTGGAATAACCTGCCCAGTGTGCAGCCGAACATTCCGGGCTCACACAGGTCTCACCAGCCACACGAGGAGTCACAAAACCCCAGTGCAAAGCCCTCAGCCTCCTGGATGAGAAAAGTGGTTATCATCGAACCACGATGGACGAACTATATATATTTAGAATTGGCAAATAGGAGGGTTCATGGTCCGTGCTCGATCAGAACTGCTATTACTTATTAAAAATTTAGTCTTTATACCGGTATATGTAACATGTATTCGATGTTTTGGCAATTTTCTTTTTTCATTCTTTTAATATTTTCCAGCTAGCTTCACAGTCCCTAAGCTTTTTGTTCAATTAGACCAGGGGTGGGCAAATTACGGCCCGAGGCCACATGCGGCCCGCCGAAGTGTTTTATGCGGCCCGCTAAAACCTAAATAAATCAAGTGTGTCCACACATTACATATATAAAATTGCAAATATATTAAACATAAATCATTGTAAATATCTATAAAAATTATTGAAACTTTTGATTCTTATCACTTATAATGAAGAGGCTAAAGAAGCATTGTCTCTAAACGTCGTTATAAAAAGTTTAAAGTAAACGAACATTATATTTAATCAAAATATTTCGATAAATTCAGTAAAAGACATAGACCAGTATTTATTCAATGCTATGAAGAACTGTGTTGAAAGAGTTGGGTTGTCTTGTACAAGATGGCAAAGGTAACAACTGATGGAGCTTTGACTGAGAAAAACAACCTTTTTAATTAATAAAATTAAAAAAAATTATCCCAACCATAAACTAGTAACTGGAAAGTTTACAAAAAATTACGCTGAATTCAATCGTATTGTGTATTTATAGCATTAAAAAACTGTATATAATGCACAGGGACGTCCCCAGGCATAGTCAAAGTAAGTAGCTGCTAAAGTCTATGATTGTTGGGGGCCTCGCACAGGAAACACGCTTTGATTTAAAAAGAGAACAGCGAAACTTGAATTCAATGTTATTGTTCGAAGTACACTAGGTCTTTCATAAATTGCATAATTTAATTTTTTTCCCTTTTTTTTTTTTTTTTTTTTTTTTGTATTTTTCTATTTTATTCGGGGCCACCAAGTACTTCGCCTTTGCCTATGGCCTCCAAGTATCCAAGGCCGGCCCCGACTGGCAGTTCGTGAAGATTTGGAATTAAAACATTCTGATATTCGGTAACACACTAGTATTCGCTGGCCAATTATTAGATCAATATGGAATCTCAAGGAAGAAATTGTTAGGTTCCTTGATGGACATTGACTGTGACCTTTTCCTAATATTTCTAATGAAGAGTTGAAGAAAGACTTCATGTTTATCATCGGAAGCATTGCAATTTGTTGTTTGCACATGAAATGTATGTGCATCTTAAATCTTTTGAAACAAAGCTATTCCATTTCTTGAGGCCAGCAAGAGAAATTAAGGCTTTATCATTTTACCTTAGCTGAAAGGTGAAACCATTTCTAGTGAAATGGTTGAAAAGTACAAGACTTATTTGGATTCCTTGATTGTGGAATTTTAAAACAAATTTTAAGACGTCAATAACTTGAAACCAGTTTTCAATAGCCTCAGTTCACCATTTAATGTAGAAGCTGACTCAGCTCCAGATGACATACCTCCAAGCAAATTATGACCTGAAAGAGAAGTTATAGTCAGTTCCTTTATGGGTGCCAGAAGCTTTATATCCACACTTTAAGAAACTTAAACTTTCACATTTTAAGCAACCACATTCATCTTTAAAAAGCTTTTCTTTTTGTTTGAAAAGTATCAAGTGTTAGAAAAGGTCGATGCTTATTGAAGATAATTTGACAGTAGTCACACAAAAACAAAAACAAAACAAAAACTAGTAAGCTACTTCCATGGTTCCGGAACATTATGCACGTGAGTAAACAGTTACATACTTCATATTAAGTACTACTATACATTCGTGCTGAAATGATGGATGTAAATGGACAATACCAAAATAATAAAAATTCGTAACATTAGTTCAAGAAATTGCTAACTCTTGTTTTAATTTAATAATATATATGCAGCCCGCCTAGTCCCCAAATTTTATTAATGCGGCCCTCGGTTGAAAAAGGTTGCCCACCCCCGAATTAGACATTCAAGAAATGAAACTATTTCTGTGATACACTATTGTTTAGAAGAATTATGAAATAGCTGATCTCGGTATTTCGTGGTACATACTGTTACTACAAAATATACCATCATTAACTCTTTCTCTCCTAACAGACGATATCAACGTTGATTCCACCAGAATGTGGTAAATAATTACGGAGAGAAAGAGTTCAGAATGTTAATTATAGTCATTCTGCGTTACCTTCTCATGGACAGTTTTTAATTCTACATCCATGCAACCCGTGATGATAATCTTGGGGAGCTTGACGCTTTGTTCCGATGTAATTATCTCACACTTGATAATAAAGTAGTTTTTAACAAGAGCTCAACGCAAATAGAGAAACCATTTACTTGAAGTCCGTGTGTTTTGTCAAGACATTGTCCTTAGATGTGGATCATTACGAGTTTTCTATTTGACTTCTGCTAATAAATAGCTACTGGATGACCTGCCCCTGACAGTACGCTAGATTACAAATTGAAATAATTTATCTTGGACTTGGCGCGAACTAGGAAATCTATGACGTCTATTGACCCTCCCTTTCCCTTGAAAAAATGTTTACAAGGAGGTGGAGTTCTGCTTTCAGTCGATTAGGTCTTTAAAAATCTGATTATGATATTTAGACTTGTATGGGATACACAAGAATCGTTTTCCGATTTATTTGTCGCAACCATTTGACGTCTGCTAAGCATTCAAATTTATTTCTGGCACCTGTTGTAGAGATTTTTTTATCTATAGATTTTTTTTGGGAAAACTTTCTTGTATTACGAAAACAGCTCTACATATTTTCCTAGATATTTAACCGTTTATATCTATTGGGAGAGAGAGAGAGAGAAAGAAATGTATAAGAAATATAAGTATTGTAAGAGACCAATGCTGAGGGTATGGTCAAGGTGGAGACATGAAACTATTTATCATGAAGACTCTTACATTTTCTTACCACACATATCCCACTTCTTCTTGACCCTCTCATAGACACACACATGTCCTCCTGCTGGTCAGAACGATTCCCTGCCCATTAAGCCTAATACTTGCCATGAAAGAGATGTATCCAGTTTCATTTGTCTCACTAGATGACAGCCAGTCGTCTGCGCTTATGAAATAAGAAATGCGTTTTGATCTTTTTAAAACATTTTATTCGACTCTTTTAAAATAATATTTTGACTTGGATTTGTAGCAGAGGCCTAGGTCTGGAGTTTCTCTCATCAAGTGGGAATATTTACTGGTGAAACATTTTACTGTTTTAATGGGGGGGGGGGGGGTCTTTTTTTGGTATGCTTTCTAAAGTTGGAAAATTCCAAACAGATGTTGCGCTTTCTTGTATTGGTTTCTTGAAACCGGGTAGATCTACAATGTTGGCAACTTTCATGCTATTGATTAAATGTAGTCGCGTTACCAGGTTTTTTACCTAAGGTGTTGTACCAGGATACCAGATTGAATCTCAGGTGACAATGAAAAGTGATAACAGAAAACGTCACAATTTGCTGTTTTTTTTTAATTTTAGTAGATGACAATTTTAAAACAGATGTTCATCTCCTGTGTGAGGCTTTCTTTACATTCTCAGATCTCTCTCTCTCTCTCTCTCCGTCAGTCTCACGCACTCCTCCGTCTCTAACTCTCTGTCTCTTTCCCTCAAACACAGCCACCTCTGGCTATCTTTCTGTCTTTTTTCTCGGCCTCCTTTTTCAGACACACATTTTTTCCTTCTCTCTCTCTCTCTTTCTCTGCCTCTT